CAAATTTGAGAAAAAATAAGAAATTTTCTATACTTAGAAAAATTTCTAAGTTAAGAAATTTCAACTTTTCAAACCAAATTCTTAAATCCTTGATTTCTTGATGAACAAGTTTCATATTTTGACATTTTTTGATGAATTATGATCTTTGGCACTTGACTTTGACCAAAAAGTCAAAGTTTGACTTTTCAGTATACAGTTGACTTTTGATTAGTTGACTGAAAAATTCATCTGTCAATCCAATGGATTTGTAATGTTTTGAATCATGTTATTAGGTAAAAATGATGCAATTGAACTCTTGAGATCATGCTTCAAACCAATTGATCATTTTCTAGGTCAAAAATCAGAAATTGCCCCTTCCCAATCAAAACCCTAATTTTGACCATTTTGCCCTTTTGGAGATTTGATCAAATTTCTTGAAGAGTTGTAGTCCAAACTTGATAAAATGATACATATGAGTCTAAGATGTTGATGTGGATCAAAAATTATAAAGTTTGACTGTAAATTGGCCATGGTTGACTTTTTCCCCAATACAGCTGATTTTTAGTTCAACTGTTCAATTGACTGATCAAAAGTGTGATTCAAGGCTTGAAACTAGACATGAGTAATATTAGGGGTCCATAATGATCCTTGAAAGTAATATGAAGCATTGATAGTCCAAAAATCCCTGTGCAAACTCAAACCCTAATTTTGGTCATCAGTGCTTGAGGAGGTGTCTTGAGCTGGTTAAACCCTAATGCAGTCTTGAGTCAAAGAGATCTTATGAGAAAATTATGGATAAGTGAGATGGAAAATTTTGGGGTACAACAATCTCAACCTAAGAAATTTAAGGATATGGTCATAAAACACACACCTCTTTATTATCACTTCACCTATGGGCATACACATGATATAAAATATACTAATAAGGTGTTTTCTGCTAAACCAAAATTCAAACAGAATTTTGGAAACTCTAACAATCATGGACCCAAAAAGATATGAGTACCAAAGAATAAAATCATCTATGATGTAGATATTTTTAACAACAAGGTTGAAACATCAGTTTAACAACTAGACTCTGGATGCTCTCTACACGTGACGGGAAGAAAGCATATGTTCTAAAGCCTGAAATTTAAATCTAGAGGTTACGCAGGTTTCATAGGCAATCAGAAAGGAAAGATTATTGGATCTGGAACTATTGGTAACAGTACTGAGGACACATCATCAGGAGAATCTCATTCAAATACAGAAAATGATGTCACAAACATTACACAAACATCTGAAGATCCCATCCAAAAAAGACAACTCAGAAGATCTGAAAAACTGTTTTGCTTTTGCTCGATGCTTCATCTTAATCTTCTATTTTTCCTGTGTTGCTCCTACTTTTTTATTCTTGACAAAAGGGGGGGTGTAAGATATTTTGACTCCTTCTCAAAGCTCTGATCATAAATCTTCAAGGAAGTGTTTTTTTTCTTCATCTGAGTATCCAACTTAGGGGGAGACTTTTATGCTTTATGTTCTTTAAGTATTCTATCAAAATATGTTTTTGTCATCATTAAAAAGGGGGAGATTGTTAGAACATGGTTTGGTTCTACATCCCTATAAGAGTTTTGATGATAACAAACACATGATATATATAAAGAACATATATGCTCTCTAATAAAGTATTTTAATATGCAGAGAAGTTCTGATGTAAGAAGCATAGAAGATGAGAAAATATCTGCTAGAACATAGTTTTGTTCTACATCCCTGGCAGTTCTGATGTAAGAAGATAAGAGAGTTTCGTTTTGAAGATCTGTTCAGACACAACATACTTAGAAGCAAATCTGTGTAATACGCTAAATGAAGAAGTTTTGTGTTACAACTTCTGAATGCATCAACGCTATGAAACGAGAACTCTGATATTCCGATATGTAAAGTTTTGGAAAGCAAAAGAGCCTCAACGGTAATATTCATCTTCTGATGTGAGCATGTTCTGAAGCGTTACATTTTACTTATGGCTATTCAAAAGTAACGGCTGAAAGGGGACAAGAATCTATATTTTGAAAGCTCTTTAATTACTATTTATCAACATCCCAAAAGCTCCCACATGCGTTGCCTGTATAAACAAAGCTTGAAGGAGAAATCAATGACGATTTTGAGCGTACAACAAACGAGTCATCTTCATCACCTTCAACGTACTGAATTTCATTTGTGTAAAACATCACTTGTGTGATACTATTTTATTAGAAAACACTTTTTGTACACTCTCTTAAATATTGTATAGTGTAATTCCTTGATAAAATTGGGTTGTGGTTTAAACTCAAGAAAACTTTGACGGTTATCATAGTTGTTGTGTAATCAAGTTTGATTAGTGGATTAAGACCTCGTTGAGAGAGGCGGAATCACCTTGGTATATGGACTGGAGTAGTTTGAGTTCAAACGAACCAGGGTAACCAACGTGTTCTTTACTTTAAGTTTTTAAAACCTCAATTCAAACCCCCTCCTTCTTGGGTTTTTCCATTCTTCACAAACCCCCAATTTCTTGTGTTACTTGCACCTTCACGTGTATGGTTAGCACTCCAACGCCTATGTCAGTTTAGGGTTTAAGATAATCACAGTGAATGATATGAGTAGGCCTCATTTTATGTGGTCTTTGACCGGCCCAAAACATGAACTAATATCTTTTAAATTAAAGATTGGATTAGATATCTAATGCCAACTCTTGATTCTTAGATATTTGTTAAATACAAAATTCCTAACATAACAAGGATTCCAATGGCTGAGTACCATATGTGAGAATGACTCTCACATTCATTTGTTATCCCAACTTCCTAAATTTATGTGTTCATTCTCTCTTGTTCAATCTTAGAAGAATTTTCATGGATCATCTAAAGAGTGTCCGCACATCTTTAGCGAACTCACAATTAAAAACGTAAAAAGAAACTTAAGACACTTATCAAAAGATGTTTGGCTTTAAAGTCGGGTTTTACTTTTCTTCGGTCTAATGAAAATCAGGTTTATTTACTACTTTATCATTAAAGAAAATAATATGAATAAACGGGCCATTGATTATAAAATCTCCATTCAAAATCCTTTAATTTAATAAAATTTTCAAATCTCGTTTTCCACGATTCCAACCATTCACCATCGAACAGTGGAGGAGTATTCATAAGAAGTTCTTTGTTAAAAACAGAAGTTTTTGTGGTCACCATACTACCTCATAAGGTGATTAATCTTATTACAGTAGTTAGACTCTGATACAACTTGTTGGACAAGTGACTTTAAACATAAGAGGGGGTGAATTATGTTGCGTTGAAAGATAATGTTCCATTAAAAAAAATTTTGATAAACTAATTGTTTAAAACAATTTTGAAAAGAGTAAGCACCGAAATAAGTAAAAGGAACAAAATCATAATTAAAATTATATTTGAACACAATGAAAAATAAGCAAGCAATGGAAATATAGAGAGATAAGGGATAAAAAGATTGTATAAGATATTTATAGAGGTTTGGTCTAACCGTTTGGCATACGTCTTCTCCGCAATATCTTTTTCTAGGGAGTTTCACTATATGTGTGAGCTTTTCACAGGTTATTACCCACAAACCTTCTTACAATCTAATTTAGAGTTTTACAATGACTATCCTCCGAGTCAAACAAGAGATTCTGAACCAAGCTAATCTCAAACAAAATAAGAGCTTTTATAACAAACGTAGTTCACAAACCAAATAGAAATTTTAATGGACAATCTCATAAAACAAATGAGAGCTTCTATAACAAGAGAAGCTCACGAACCAAATGCAAGATTTCGACGGACAACCTCACATGCCAAACACATTACATGTAAATTTCACCCTCAAAGCACTAAGGCACAAGTGAAGAAGAAATCATTAGAGAGAGAAGAGAGTGGAGAGTTAAAGAGTATTTAAAATACGTTTTCTGGTGTGAGTGAAATGAAAAATGAATTATCTATTTATAGGATAAAGTGTAGATCAAAAATGGAAATAATCCATAGGCTTTTTAATGCTCCTAATTGATTAACAGTTAGGGTTAATTAATTAGCTAAGCTAAAAATGGAATGTTTTTAAATGGTTTCGTCATTAATCGATTATGGTTTCCTCTAATTGTTTATGCTAGAAAAATGATAATTGATTAACCCTTATGAGCTAATCGATTATACCATGAAAAAAAAACCCTTTAACTGATTAGATTAAATCCCTAATCCATTAGTTAAGCGTACAAAGGTTTTATGGTAGTTTTGACAAAGTTACATAGGCTTTTCCGATCATTCGAAAGTGTGTGTATAATTTTCATTAGTAATTCAAGAGTTAATCTTCTTCTACCTTTATAGACCGCTCAACATGAACTAGGTGAACTTTCACACTTCCTCTCTTTCACAACTTTGAAGATTCAAGATTCATTGCTTGATACATTCATGATCCAACACTTCAACTAGGACTTGAATTTACTTCTACTTTATGAGGCTTGATAAGACTTCTTCATAGATATCATCATCATAGAAATTGCTTGACTAAGATCATTAGGAATTTCATCGAACACCGCTTGACATTTGATATTATTCTTTAGAGATTGACTTTGACACATTTGATCTCAAGATAAATTATTTTACTTCTTTAAATTGATTGAACTAAATTTAGTATATTATTTTACACTTTCTAATTATTTAAACAACTCATCTATATTTTTTAAATATTCATACAACTAATCAAATATTCTAAATTGATTCTCATTAAATACCACAATATACTCTAAATTTAATCATATATATATATATATATATATATATATATATATATATATATATATATATATATATATATATATATATATATATATATATATATATATATATATATATAACTCAAATGCTAAACAAAAATCATTGCAAGAAGAACGTAGTTAAATTTGAAAACTCTCAAAAATTCAAACATTTATTATCTCGTCATACAATGGCTTTGACATTTGTTTCACAACGGTGATAATCCACCAATATGTATGCTCTAACCAATGAAACTTATGCAACTTACAAGTTTTGAATAATATCCACAAGAGATGTATAGGTACCAAAAACAGCAATAGCAACTCCCATTATAATTATAGAATAATTAATAATCATTGATCTTCCAAATCTCTTGTAATCTCCAGAAATCTTCAAGTAACAAATGGATGGCACTAAAGTTGAAGCTGAGATACTTAACAATGCTCCAACAAGTGACATAAGGTATCCAAATAAAGGAATTGCCACTGCTATAACAAGAGAGGTTACTAGTAAAGATGTACTAATAATCATATGTGTGACCCTTTTGTTGCTTGAAACCTTTGCTTTTACTGCATTTACTACTGGTGTAAGCATTAATGCATATTTTGCTATTGGATTTACTAAGTTTGTGTATATTGCTATTCTTGAACTTAACTTTCCTGTTTGGAGATTTAGAGTTACTTGTGATTCGACTTCTTGTCCGAACATTAAGTAACCTAGAAATGCCGCTGCTGCATAACCAAACGTGCATGTTGAAAAGCTTATAATTAGCACCTGACAAAAAGAGAACAATTTAGACAAATGTATTTTCAAATATTTTCATCAAAAATCAAAATTTCGAACCTCAAAACTCAATTTATAACACCCATCAATAGAGGACAAAACCGGATTGAGACGGAACGGACACTATTGTTGGCACAGACCTAAAACATTGACCTGTCCCGTAAAAAAATAAGAGCGGGGTGGGGCAAGTCCACGGGCAGGGGCACTAAACTTTCTAATGCCCGCGCTCGAAAGCAACACAGTGGACATATTAAAGGTTTGCAGCATAAAATCTCGGTCCCCACAAAAAAAAGTGCCTACAAAACAGGCATGGTTCGTGGGCCAGGCCCATTTTTCCACCCATCCTTGTCAATCAAAATTCACGGTGAAATAGATTGTAATTCCTATCTAAGCAACAATAATTGCAACCGCATTTTGACCCCAACCGAAATTTAAAACCAAGATTTCAATAATTTCATTCAAATAGTTGGATATATGATGTTGAAATTACTAATAAAGCTTAATACTTACCCTAGAGAACTGACTTTTGGTCTTCATAGAGTTGTAGAGAGTAGGAAGAACCGGATGAGCACTATAACAAAAAGCATACAAACTAACCGCCGAAGGAATTCCAGTCCAATTCAAAGCCCTTACTTCACCATGAAACCCAGTTCCATCAATTGCACCATTCCACAACAACGAAACAATGAAAATCGAAGAAGCCAAAGCACCACCAGCAGAAACATAAGACAACAAACTCATATTCTCAAACAAAACAGTAGGCAAAATAACAAGACAAGTAATCATAGTAAACAACGTTGTCCCACCAATGGTAAACTCTCCTATGTGAATTTCCACATTTGGTATCAGTTTGTTTAGATTGTCTCCTTCTAAAATAAGAAAACCTGATACAGCTAAGTAGAGCTCAGTATTCATGATTATCGATACGATTAGCCTTCCTTTCGATCCAAATGCATGTTCACCTATGTCTGGAAAGGTTCTGATATCAGGATCCATGTCCATGCACTTTTTAACCAATGTGCCTGTATAACAACATGCTATGGCTATTGTAAACAGAAGAAATATGCTTAACCATCCTCCTGATGCTAGGGCATACGGCATTGAAACAATACCAACTCCTGCACAATATAAAAGTTTCTAACAATTTAATATCTCTCTAATAAAACACAAGTTACCGCATCAGTAATATTGCAACTATAATTTAAAAACCAGTGGTCACACTATTTTATGCAATATTTGTTACTAACTGTACAGCCTTGAATGCAGTGGTCACACTATTCACAAATATCATTATCTGCACAGCCTTGAAAAAGCCAGTGGTCACATTATTCACAAATAAGAATATTTGTTTTCTATAAGGCATATTCTTTTAGTCAATATGTAAGAAACAAATCTAACTTTAGGTGTAAAAAATACTAAATAGCCTCAAAGTAAGATTACAGATGATAAATTTGCTACTTACATTAAAGTATAATGTATAAACAAAAAAGACCCATTTTTCAATGAAACAAACATACATAAATTTTGTCTTTCCTTTTTACTTCCACTCACAAAAATTATTATAAATAAAAATTAAATGTATCTTGTTCAAATTTAGACTAAATACATTTGTTAATAAAATTCTTTTTTTTTCCTTCTTTTTCACTTATTTTCAATAAATTTTTGTCTCTAGCAACAACAAATGCGGAATCTCCAAGGTTTAAACATTTATAGGTCTTGCATTTGAATGGAGTTGAGTTGCAAGTTTCATGTCCAGTATGATTTCTATAACTGTGAAACACTTTATCCCTCTTTTGCTTCAGTTCGGGTAATTAGTTGCATTTTGTTTCCGATAATGCTCTCTTTGAATGAATAGTTGTTCATTAAAAAATAAATAAATGGATTTAGAATCATTCTTCAATAAAGTCGACCACGTAGATCAAGTTCCGGGTATAATTTTTTATTAAGAGTTTTTTTAAAAACTTTTGTTTAGAAAAATATGACTAAACAAATAATAGAAAAGAGAGTAAAGAACTGAACCTGAGATAACATTGAGTAGATTGAAGCATGTCTTGAATACAGAAGCGCTACCCACATGATGGATTATGAAGCTCTCTGGATCCTTAGTATTAGTATTAGTAGTATTTGAATCATTCACTTTCTCATCATTCAAAAGTGGTGCTTCAATGGAATAATATCTATCACCTTGCTTTCCAGCCATGTTCTACTACTCTGGAAGAAGGTGAATGTGTCTCGTGATGTTTGCTGAATATTTGCACTTTCCCTGTTCTTTATAGAGAGTTTGTGCAAACACGTTTTAATCGCATTGTCAAATTTTTCTTAAATTTCAAGATGCTATTATTTTTTCTAGATTGTCCTTTTCCTCAGATTTTACACAAAAAGGACTTTTATGTAATAACATAATAAATATTTTAATTATGTTGTGCAACATATTTCTCTCTTTTCTATTTATTTTTTAATTTTTTAATTTAAATTATAATTATTATTTTGTATTTTTCCTATTTGTATTTTATCTCATTTCTTTTTCAACATTTATTTTTTATTTCACTTTTATTTACATTTTTCTCTCTTGTCTTCTCTCTCTCTTTCTCTCTGGTATTTTCATTTAAATTTTTTCATTTCTATTTTCTCTTTCCTTTTTTATTTTTCTAAATATAAATAAATATATAATTAAATATTTTTTAATGGAAAGAAGAGAAACACATAAAAATTTACTCAATCAAAAATATAATTATTTTATAATTATTAAAAAAAATATTTTTAAATGTTAAAATTTCTATTTTAAATGGGTCATTATCAACAAAATACATATTTTATATTAATTAATTATTGTCTTTATTTGAGGTATAAAATTATTATTTTAAAATGTCAAAATTTATATTTTCCTCCCTAGTCACTATCAACAAAACACGCATTTTATTTTAATTAACATTATATTTATCTAAGACACAAAAATTTTATTTTCAAATATTAAAATTTTTATTTTTTTATGGAATACTATCAACAAAATACATATTTTATTTTAATTAATAATTATCTTTATTTGAAACACAAATTTTTTATTTTTAACAAAATGTGAATAAAACAACTGTGGTCAAACAAAAACTGGACGCCCATGTGTTTCTAATGTTATTTCATTATCATTTTTTGTCCTCTTTCTAAATTCAAATTATTTGTCCAGGTGCATTTTATAATTACTATATATTAGGTTAATAAAGTATCATTTAAACTAAATATTCATATACATAAATATTTTCAATATTAATATATATTTTAATCTTTTCATTCTAAACTTTATAAAGTGTCACAGAATATAACTAATTAGATCTAAACACTTAGATATACATAAAAATTACTCCAATTTACATAAATATAATTTATAATTTTACCGTACAAAATAAGAAGTACATATATGGACGCATGGGGTATATAACTAATAATAATACTAATTTAATGTATTATAACTTATATATGGTAAAAGATGATAAACGGACATTATTTTAATGGTTACTAGTCAAGATGATTGTTGATTAAGATTATTGTGTATAAATTACTATCTGTGTCTCCTAATATATTTCTTATTTAAGCCATATATTTATAAAAATATTAGATAAATTGATTTTAATAATAAAATTTATATTATTTATTATAGTATTTTTATTAATTATAGTTAGTAAAATATTAGTATAGTGTGAAAGTAAATAAATAAAGATATAATAATAATAAATATTACATTATATGAAAAAACTATATATTTATTTTGAGAAGGAAAACAGATATAAATAAAACACTTTTTATAAGATGAATGGAATATTAATATGGTTTCAATTTTTTTTCAATTATAATTGTAGGAGATCGAACCGTAATTTTCTCTATTAAATTTATCATCAATCATCACTAAATCAACTTACTATTGATTTATACATTTTTTATTATAACTAAAATAATTTGTAATATTAAATTAATCTTAAAATAAAAACTCTAATATTAACATAGAGATACAATTTATTTATAACAATTAATAAAATTAAAATTAATATTATAAATATCATGATTATTATTATATTATTTTATATTGATGTTCTATTTATTATATATATTTTATAAATAAGATTTATATTGTATTTGGATCGTTTACTCAGAATGAGAATAAATATAATAAATTTTCTTATCTTTCTCTCATTCATCTTTAATATATTATTTTTTATTAATTTTATAACACGTTATCAACACGAAACTCTACCGAATCTTAAAAGGATAAAAATTGAAGCAGTAACTATCAGATTTTAAAAGGACAAAAATTGAAGCATTAACTATCAGAGGTGATATTAGTTTATTATTTTATTCATTTTCTTTTTTATTATCCATATTGAATTTTGATATTATATCTTATTAAATTAATTATCAATAATTTTTGAAGGATTACAAAATAATGAGCTTGTTGTATAGTTCTTGAACTTATAATCATCACTGAATGATAGCAAAATAATGAGTTTGTTATATAGTTTCTAAAGAAGATATAAGCATCCCGGAAAGATAACAAAATAATGAATTTGTTATATAGTTCTTAAAGAATTTATAAGCTTCTCGGAAGGATAACAAAATAATGAGTTTGTTTTATAGTTCTTAAATAACTTATCATCCCTGAAAGATAGTAAAATAATAGTTTGTCATATAGTTTCTAAAGAATTTCTCAAACATCCTGAAAGATAGCAAAATAATAATTTGTTATATATTTCCTAAAAAACTTATAAAGCATCTCTAGAGGATTGCACGATTTTTTGTCTTTATCATTGTTTAAAGATCTATGATCTAACTCTCGAAAAAAAATATATTATAAAGGAACTCTGAAGGATTGTTCAAAGGATAATTTATTTTTATGCATTGATCAAAGAATGATTATCTCTTGAGGAATGATAAAAAATGACTATTCGTTCTATATTGATAAAAAGGTATTGTTCTGGACTGGGCATGCGCTTGGTCCAAACAGCATACAAAGCCCAATTCAACCATGTTACTGGTGTAGGCTAGCAAGAATGAGGTTTCCCTTGACTATATCGGGCAGCGATTCCACCCTTGTATCGAAGGGCTATCGAGGAGTGTTAACGACTCCCATGAGGTCTTGATGGGCACCCTCCTCGTAGGGCAGACGTCCACGTCTCCGAGTATCCTAGAGTCATCTTAACCTCGAAAATACCACAACCACGTCTTCCTAGTAACTCAGAGCAGCCCACTGGGGATGGAGACCACGTGTTGGTCTCCACTACTCACATAGATCCTGACAATCTTCATTTTAGACCTGCTCTGTCATCCTGATATGGGAACCTTGGCCCAACACTAGGGAATATAAATACCCTTTCATTTGAGAGGGTCGGGTATTCATTCATTCATCCATAATTTCACATTCTACTTGCACTTGCTCTGAACCTTACTTTGGGATCAGAGTGTCTTGTAGGTACCCCCTACCACTTCGCATTCGACCGCTTCCCGAGTTGAAGCTTGTGGGCCTTGACGATCTCTTCTGATCAGGTATGATCAGTGGCGCCATATGTGGAAATAAGGCTTCCCCGTCTTCCATTCATGTAAGACCAAAGCAATACCTTCAACCTTTAGGTTGTCACGGCCGACCAAACTTTCAACAATAATCAGAACGTTCACTTTGTATGCGGATGATAACAACACCCGCTCGCAACCACGCGATGACACCCATCATCCTCGACAGAATTACGAGCCACCCGCATAGCAGGAGACCCTTGTTCCCGAAAATAGTGACGTCACGACCAGAGCCTTGTTGGCAACAATCAACCAGATGAACTACATGATCTTCGCGCAGGGTGAGCGCCTGATGATGTTGGAACAGACTCGGTGGTCCCTCATAAGGCATCGAAGACCTGATTCTCGAACTCCCCATCCCTGGAACGAGATTCGCTCCCGATATCCCATGCGGAGACACAGACGGGATGACTCTCGAAACCCTTCTCCCTCGCCGAACTAGGCGAGGTCCTGCATTGGAGAGGACCTAGCCCAAAGTTGTCAAGAAACACAGTCGCACCCCCGCGCAAAGAGTGACGATCTCTTGAACATAAAAGAAATAGGGGCGAGGAAGAGAAGAAGTCTCGGTCGAGGAACCATCCCCAGGACAAAAACCGACACAAATATTGCCGCTACTACCAGTCTCTGTCTCGCTCTCCAGAAAGAAGCGACAAAGACGACCCCCACGGTCCGCTGTCTCAGGCCATCATGGAGGCCTCTATTCCTAAAGGGATGGAGAAGCCTCCCCTTATGAAGTAATATGATGGTATTACTGACCCTGTCAACCACATCGACGACTTCGAAGCCATGCTTCATTATCATAACGTCGGGGCCCCCATTAAGTGTAGGTTGTTCCCCATGATGCTAAGGAAAACAGTCATGGACTGGTATAAGAACCTACCCCCCGGGTCGATCACCTCATGGAGGAATTTGAAAAACCAATTTATCAGCAGCTTCACTGCATCTCGTCGGCACCCAAAGACTGAGGCCGCCCTCGAGGCAATCTTCCAGAGAAGCAATGAGACCCTTAAAGAATATATTGATCGGTTCAATCGCAAGGCCATTTAGGTCCCATGTGCCTATCACATGAAGAGATACTTTCTCGAGAGGGGACTCCTCCCGGGCATTGAATTTAGAAACGTCGTTGGCATTGATCCCCCCAGGTCTTTTGATGCACTCCTTAAAAAATCTCATGCGTACATAGACTACGAGGAAAAAGAGGCCGCCAACAACGCCCACGAGTCAAGGAACCATGGACCAACTAACGTTCCACGACACAGTGACGCGAGCCCTTCTTAACAAATAGGGGAAAGGGGAAGGGAGGACAAACCTTTCAACCCACGCGAGCACAAAGAACCAGTCGGGCGCTTCATCGAGTACATGCCGCTGACTGCTTCCTGCGAGTGTATCCTTGCAGAGTACTCTAATGCTGAATTCAAGTACGGCATGGTCAGGCGTCCTCGACCCGCCCCTGCACATCCCGGGGCCGACTGAACAAAATTCTGTCAATAACACTGGAGCCACGGTCACCTGACCGAAGACTACGTCCACCTGAAGGATATCATCGAGACTCTCATCAAGGCATGGAAACTCGAGAAGTACAAGCAAAACTATGCCCTTCATTGAGATGCCCTCAAGGTTAAAGAAATTGAGGAGGATACCCGACCA